GGGGTGTGGGGGGGGGGGGGGGGGGGGGAGGGGGGAGGTCGGTCTAAAGTTTAAAAATGTACTTAACCTTTAAGATTTTCAAGGATAAATCAATGACAAGAAGTTTTATTTATTAAATAGCTTGCACAGCCAAAGAATGAAGGGCTAGCCAGAACCTCTAGATACACAGCTGTAGAACCGGACCGGCAGTTGCAGGCCAAGGCAGTGCAATAAGAGAACCATACTGCAAGTGGATTTAATTCATCCCTTGCAGATTGTGTGTAATATACAAAAGGTCTGCGACCACAATACCAGCACTGTCATTGTAGCCAAGGAACCCATATCATTGTACCTTGCCATTGGTTTATAATAAAGGTGAAAAAAGCACAATTTTTGGTTCTGCAACTTTTTTTCTTCTTTTAATCAACATTTATACATTGTTTCTACTAGAATATTTACAACCACCAGGCAGTTAAGAGATAATTAGGCTTTTTTTTCCCCCCAAAAAGGGAAAGTACAGTCTTTTCATCTGTAAAAGAGATCGGCTTGATGTAACATGAGCAATGTGTTTAATGCTGTAACAACCTAGATTTTATATTTATTTCTATATACGCGGGGACAGCCATATTTGCATTGTGGTAGCTAATCTACAAATCTCTATGTTTAATAAAAAAGCCAAAATAAGGATGTGCAAGCTTGTAAACGTTTGAAAGAAACTTCTTTAAACACTGCAATTCCAACCCAAAATATGTGCTATTTGAAAGTACACTATACTCTCCCTTTAAAAGAATGCAAGTTTTGGATAGTGTGGAAAGGGACGGAACACCTGTCAGGTTTTTTATTGCTGTTCCCATTAGGCTGATTCGTCCACTTTCTTTGTCCTGGTGACCGTTATCACTGAAAGTGGAAAAAAAATCCCACAATTTGGGTTGTCATCAGAACATGGATAGATGGGAAATCTCCCAGTGGATACAGTAGTTCTGGTGACCCTGCTGACCACTAGGGAATTTCCTCTTACAGCTATTACCGTAGCAGGAAGTGAAGGGAAATCATCCCAATGGAACACATTTGGTAAAAAACTGCTAACAGAGGTTCTAAACCCCCCCCTCCCTTACTGTATTCAAAACTATAAAATAAAGTTTTGCCTTCAGTTCTACTTTAAGTAACAGGCTGCTCACATACATCAATTGTTTGAAATATGCACTCACTGATGCTGCCCTTGCTATAGCAATTCAGTATGTCTTTTGTCAGTAAAAGCCCTGTAGTTTTCTTCAACTTCTGCGGTAGACAACCCACGCTGCTCCCTACCGAGCCCCTTCCTGGTACTGACTCCACCAAGGAGTCTTGTTGCTGCCTGTGAAGCCTCTGACACCAAAGGCTGTGTGTGCGGGAGAGTATCTGCATGTTATCAGTGACAACAAGGACTTGCAATGCTCTGCACAGGCAGAGAAAAAAACTCAGCTTGTTCCCTGCTGTCACTCCGGTAGCCAGACACCCTAGTGATGTCAGGACCAGGAGGGAGGGCAGAGCAGGTGCCTGCTACAGAAAGCCTTCAACACAACAAAAAGGCATAATGGACTGCTATGCCAATGTAGCATCAGTAAGTGCTAATTGTAAATATTTTATTCATGTCAGCAGTCTGCAAAGTGTTACTTGATGGATACCTATAATCATCAGACAGGGACAGACGTTCAAACACAATCCAAACCCCGAACAGTCTTGTAAATACGATTTGTCTACAAACGTGGAAGGTTGCATTGAATGAACCTGCCAAACAGGCAAATGTTCTCTAATGACTGTATGCACCTTTACTTACACTTGTAACAAAAGTCCAGTTTGAATACACTTAAACACCAAGAGGTGCTATAGATTCTTTATAAATACTATGTTGGCCCAAAATTCATTTAAACAAAGCAAACAGTGCAAAGCAAAAAGGAGAGGATTTAAATGGCAGTATAAGGCAACAGACATCACATGAACATGTCATCATAGCCTGGAGGCGGCAGATGGTCGGGGTCAGGCCTGGACAGGAAAGAGTAAAAGTCAGTTAGTCTCTCATGATTGTCTTATAAGATGCATACCATGCTCTATATATAAAAGAAAGCAGGCATTGGAAAAAAAAAAAAAAACTCACCCTGGGCGTCTAGAACCCGGAGGGCCGAAGGGGTCAAACCGAGCACCAGGTGGCACCGCTCCTGGAGGGAGGCCAACTAAGGGATCAGGTCTGGGTCTTGAACCTGGTCCAAAAGGATCAAAGATCATGCCTCCAGTGTGCCCGCTGTAGAAACAAAATGGCATGTTAGGTGTGTTTATGGAAAAATATACACAGTTAAAAAAACATATTTCTATTATTATTATACAGGATTTATATAGCGCCAACAGTTTGTGCAGCGCTTTACAATATTAGGAAGACATTACAATACAAATCAAGACAAGATGGTAAGGAAGGCATATTATATATATACAGAGAGAGAGAGAGAGAGAGTATATATTATAGCTCTGTAATACATGTACATTTCCCTATGTTTTATCTCTTGACCATACATGAACTTATTTGTGAATGTGTTCTGGACCTATTTTCCAAAGCCACCAATCATATTCTAACATTTAGGGTAGGTCTGAAGATGGGTGGCTAGAGATGAGTAACTCAAGTTTTTAAGGTTCAAGTCAGCTGTAAAGCAGGATTACTATTTGAGTCACTGCTGTTCTATTTAACTTCTCATTGACTCTTGTGGCGTAAAATAACGCAAGTCATGGCCTGAGCCTTTAGTACACATAGATATACAAAGACTTCTATTTTTTATTTTGTAACATCATATAGATACCATCTATATACTCACCCCAAGGGATCCAAATCTGCAGCACCATAAGGAATATTCCCGCTGGGATTCTCCCTAGAAGAGCTAAAATGAGAAGAGTTAAAGTTGGAAGGTA